TCAGCTAAGAACTTCAGGAATGGGGGCAGGTGAGGAGAAAAGTCTTGGCAACGGCAGTTTGAGGAGAAATGAATTAATTCGATTATTTTCATGGTGTAGATCAATAGTCGTCAGCCTCCGCAGAGGCCCCTGGCCTGAAGGCAGCTGGATAATCAATAGGCTCACACAGAGGCAGCTCTCCTCCCCAGCAGCCTCTCTGATCTTTTCTGGGCAGACTCTTCACGCCTGTGTAATTCTAATTTATGTCAACTAGAAATCAAAGAAATTCCAAGAGGCTTTGGTCATAGGACATTGGGGTGGACCTTTCACAATCTATTTATGTCTACTCCTTAAGCAATGTGGCCCCCACGGTCCCCCAGGCGCCTCTACTGGCCAAGGTGAAGAAATCTCCAAGCAGAAGGGCAGCTACCTGCTCAGGGCCAAGGCAGAGGAGTGGCATTCGGTAAATCGAGGCACACTTTCTCCTTCCCATCTATAACTCCGCAGGGACATAAGAACTAAGCATTCTAAGCAAAATGCTTTGCCAAGAGTGGCTCCCTCAATAACGCTCTTTAATGATACCCCAGACGCTGGCATTTTCAAATCAAATGAACAGTGTATAAAATTAGTTCTGCATGAAGTTAAAAAAAAAATGGAAAGTGAAAGGGAGCTTTTAAAAGCTCCAGCATTTCTTCATCCAACTGCTTTTCACAAGGGTTTGGCATTTGAGAATTGCTACGTTTATGATGTTATTCACTGCTCATAATTCAGGCCTGTGTCTCCAAACTTCTGTATTAGCACACACTGCAGAGGTTTCCACCTCGACATTTTATCACCAGGGTCTCCCAAAACAGCCAGGCTGCCTCTGGCGAGGTCTGGTTTCTCAGCCAATGCCAGGCCACGGTGCTCCCTCCTTTCTCATCAACCTTGTTACCCCAAACATTTTTCATTAACCTTGAACATTGCCTTTCCATTTGCCCTACAGCTTTCCTGTTTTTTTTTTTTTTTTCCTTTTCAGTTTTGTTCTGCATCCAAACCGCTTTGTAAGATATGAGGAAAATATATTAGAAGAAACAGATCTATAGAGAATCTAGAATTCACTGAAGTCGTGAAAACAATTTCTACAACCAAAGCCACTGATTGACTACAATTGTGGAAACCAGAGTAAACATATTGCTCTTATTAGAGAGTCCCGTTGATTATACAAGTATTTTTAACTAAATCACCAAATAAATGTGAGTTAAGTTGATAGGTGATTTCGGGTCAACTCTAATTCCCAAGGTCAAGTAAGCCTTTGAACAATCTTTAAGAATATAAGCTCACCCCAATTCATCAAAGCCGTCTCACACAGCGTTTTCTTCTCTTGGTTCTTACAATGCACTAAAGTTTAGGAGATTAAGTGGCGAGAGCTTCAAAACCCTCTAACGTGCTTATCCATCCAGCAATCGGAAAAGCTACTCAAACAGGGACTTCTTAATGCACTTCCTGACTTTAAAACTGCACGGCGAATGCTGCATGTGCTGAATGACTGGAGGACTCCTCCCTAGGAATCACCGGCGTTGCAGCCACACAGATTGACTGCAGTTTAATGTGGCCATTGTTTGACAATCCAAGTACATGTCGCTTTCATCTGCAAAGAATATGTTTAATGCTTCTCTTCTGTTCTGGTTACCTAATGAGAGAGACAGAATGAAGAAAAACACCTTTTCCTACAACAAATACATTTTCTTATTCTAAAAATTCCTCAAAAGTTGAAGTGAGGGACAAATCACCAGTTTGGTAAAGTACAGCTTCTAATTTAAATATAGGTGGCCCCAAATGAAACTGACTGCAAGTGAAAGAAAATGCAACTAGACTTCGGTATTTCTCAGGAACACAGAACACCAGCGCAAGGACACACAGACCTCACAAACCCCATCTTTCCCTGGTGCAGGGATCCCACTGACAGCATTCCTGACCAGGGGTTAACTGTGTAGACGCTGAGGGCTCTTGCCTCTTCTTTGGCTTCTCCAGCTGGTGTGCAGAAAGGGAGAGGATGCTGATGAGTTTTACTAGTGGTTAGCAGATTTGGTTAAGGTTCAGGGAGAAGAGCGATAGGCCCAAATTCATTTTGTTCTTTAATGCTTTCTTGGTCCAGAAGATAAGATATTGAGATAAATAGTGGATCTTCTTCATACCCTAAGCATAGTTTTTCTCTGTTTCCTGTTTCTGTTCTTATTTTTCACCTTTATTTTTCTCATTATATTCTGTTTCCCTATTTGAACTGTCTTATTTTCAACTCACCCTTTTCTCCCACTGCAAATCTTTCTTGATTTCTGTACCTGAACACATGGTTAATAAGTTGATTCAAATACAGTGTCCCAGAGAGTATCAGTTTTTCATTGTAAAGTGTGTAGAAAGTGCTATTATTGACATTATATATATACATACATATATATACACACATATATATACATATATTTTGTATAAATAATAATATTTCAAATTTAGAAGAGGAAAAAGTACATAGGCAGTATCTTTTCTAATATGAGTTTATTTTTTCCCTCTCTAATTTTCTTTCAAAATGGGATAGTGGGCAATATAACTTTTTCTCATTTAGAAACTCAAACATCGCAGCACAGGTTAATATAATGACATCAATGATAAGAATAATCAGTAACACAACGCGTTTTATATACAACAGACATGATTGTAAGTGCTTTATATGTTAACTCATTTACATTTTTATAATTCTACAAGGCAGGTACTAGTATCATCCTCACTTTACCAAGGAGGAAATAGGCACTGACAGGCTAGGAAACTGCCCAAGATGACACCACTGGTAATTACAGAGCCCACATGTGACCTGAACTCTGGCTCCAAAGGCCATGTCCTCACTACTAACCTCTTCTTTGCTACTCAAATCTTTCTGTGAATCTTGATGGTAATTTAAAGTCTGGAGATGGATGGCATAATACAAAATCCGAAAGCTGAATAGCTGCTTTAATCTAGGTTTCCATCCAACTAAACCAATAAGCAGGTCTTTCTGTGCAAGAATTTACTTGTGCTTTGTGTGTGGTTTGGAAAAGTCTGCCATCCTCACAGAGCCTCTCACATTTGGCTCTGAGCTGCCTTTAAGTCTGAGGAAGACAGACAGCAAGGCTGAGTCCAGCATGTCCCTGGGCTGTGCTGTAGCAGGCGATGGCCAGACCGCATGGTCCTAGAGCCAGTGGGCTCTCAGAATAGCTCTCTGGTTGGAGAAAGGATTCAGAGGCCCCCGAAGAAAGGGCTAAAGCCCTCAGGGATACTGCTAATCTGAACAGCATCTCTATTTAATTGTGGAGTAATTTACATTTGGGTAGAAAAGAATCTATTCCTTAATTTAAAATCAGCAAAATGCTGCTCAGCAAGTATGTCTACAATAATCTGTACTAATTGGAACATATAACTTCTACAATTTATCTCTGAAGGTGGAGCTGATCTTAACAAACCTAAGAGTACAGACTAGAAATACAGTGATTTCTGAGAATGACCGTGAACACATAATACGTTTGAGTGCGTGCATTTTGGCGTCTTTGGTTAGATAGCATTCGTGTAGCAGTTCCTTTTGGTGGAAGCTGAGAAGCTCTACTGTTATTGTTTCTTATTTCTAGAGCACTCTGCCTATGGACCCTTTAACTTGTTTTAAAGGAAGTTATTCGAAAGTGACAGGGTTAGTAGCAGTGGTAGGTTAGTTATAGTGAGATTTGAGGGAGACTTGCAACCCCTGGATCTCAGTGCTGTTGCTTAGCTACAAAGTAAGTCGGCCTTCTCGGCTGGGCTGAGAATACATAATAAAATCTCTCTAAACATAACTAACTGGCAAAGGTCTAGTATAAGTTGGAATTTTAAAGCATTTGGAGGAAAGTCAATTAACAAAAATGACAAAGCACACAAAGGATTTGGACCATTCTTCTATTTGCCCCCAAATTTGCTACATTTAGAAAATACGTGCCCTTTGAGAGGCATGTATATTTAATTTCACATTCTTTTGCTAGATTTGTCCCTAATCACCATTTGCAAAAGCAGCACACATGCGTAAATTGGTATGAGATGACAGCACTTCCTTTGCAAGTATCCAAGGTAGACCTTTTCTAAGGAAGCAGTCCCCATGGCCGGAGACTGCCCCAAGGGTTGTACCAGAAGCACTGGCCACAGACTCCAAAGACCTGAGTGGGTGAAGTCTTGGCTGAGTATCCTTGAGCCAGTGACTGGTCTTTCTGAGTCCCCATTTTCTCCCCTTCACAATGTAAACAACTATTTCTTATACTTGTTATAGGGAAAACATGGAAGTAACAAAGGGGAAAACACCTGTGTTGTACCTGGTGATCAATATAGAGTTTTATTATCTTTATTCTCAATCTTCAAAGGGCCCTGTGTTAAATGTGGCACCATTTCCCAAACTCATGCTCGGGTTCCTGGCCAGCTCCACAGGCCTTTGGCAGGACCTCTGGGACCATTTCTGTTCACATGCTAGGAACAGCATCTGATGTGTGGGGAGAGGCAAATTCCCACATACCCCTCCTTGCTGGCCCTTTCTTAGCCCCAAATGGCCAGAATATATACATGTTGAGCACCAAAATTATACACTTGTGAAAAACCAATTTGGCACTGTTCTTTCCACCTTTACTGTTGTAGGAAACTTGGAACCCAGAATAGAATTTTATGGTTAGACCCTGCAAATTGCAGTTTGCCATGCAACATTTTTAATTTTGGTCCATGGACTCATAAATAGTCAACCCTAAGTTGACTGGGTATATGATTGCTTTTTCTTTCTGCTTAAGCACAAAATTCATTATTAAATAGAGAAATGCAAAAATAATCTCAGATTAGTTTAGAAAACCAGGCAAACAATGCAAAGCTATAATAGTGTATGTAAGTGTGTGTGTGTGTATGTGTTTGCATGTAGGGCATGGGGAGAAGGAAGGAGAGAGAATATATAACATCAAGCTATTAACTAGACTGAAATGTAGAAAACAAACAACTCGATAGACAATTCTTACTTTATCACATCTCATCAGCCCCAAATATCTCAGAGACTTGCTGCTCTGTGCGATCAGGGTGGCTCCTTGATCCGTAATTTCTTTACACCATCCAACGTCCACGGTCTCTATTGTCATGCTGTATCGCCCAATGGCTATCAATGCTGCAAGGAGGGACAGAGAGAAAGAAAGCACTGATGTTAGCAGTGTAAGGGATCTCTATCTTATTATGACCATTTCTCTCATTTCCTCACTAAATTTGTTCCTGAAATGTTGTGTGTAAATTAATGTTTTATATACTAAATTAAATTTGAAATGCTTTAGGAAAGCTTGCCTTATGACAAACCCTTTTGCAAAGTGAATAATCATTCCATAATTTCCCTTTCATTGGACACAACCTTTTATCAGCTTTATTCATTACGAGGTTACCTGTACTTTCAAACATTCATATCTGCAACAGGAATAAATTAAAATGAATTTCAGATATAACATTACAAAAAAAACCCCAAGTACTAACTAAATTTTAGCCAAGATAACTTTAATAATTTTTTAAAAAGAAAAACCTATGTAAACACCATTTTGAGATGTGTTATATTGCATGTGAATTTCTTTACCAATTGGTATAATTTTTTCCATCTGTTCATGACCTGTAAAATACAAGAGTATACAATATCTTTCACATCAGTGCTTCTTAGGACTGTTAGGAATTAAGAGTACATTACACATACAGCTGAATTTAATTGGTGCCTTGCTAGAGTGCAGTAAAGGGAATGCATTTGTTATGGTGAATTTCCTCACCATATCAAAAGTCTTCCTCCTATTAACATATAAAATGAAGCCTGTCATCTGAAAACTATGACGGTATCTCTTGACTGTTTAGCATTGTACCACTACTAAAGTGTAGACACTTATCCCGTAATCTACGATGCGCACTACTTATCACCGAAAACCTCCATAACCCATTGCCCTCTCGGAGCAACCAATCAGTGAATGTGGCTCTTTTCTACAGACTTCAGACTTGATAAACATGCACACCTCTACACTATGGAGCAGAAAACCAGATTTCAGGACCTCCAGCCAGAATAAGTTTATGGCGCATTGGTTTGTGAATGAAAACCCTGACACAATGCCACAAATATCAAAAAGAAATCAAAATGGTTTGTTAATTATTTCCTCATTCTAAGATAGCATAAGTTGATTTCTGTGACATTAAAGGCGGATGATATTTCCCAAAATGTGTTGACTAGATTGATAAGAACAGAGTAAATTACTCGCGCAAATAAATATTAACTCTTACAGCTCACAGAAAAGAATACTTGGCAAAATCTCTATGCTAATTACCTCAGTAAATTTTTTTTTTTCTCAAAAACTCGTGCCCATACATTCCAGTATCAAGGCCACTACCAAGTAGCTAGATATTTGGTGTTTATAAAAACAACACTCATCTCAGTGTTTTTCAGTGAAAATACCATAGAGGAAGGATTTTTTTTTTTTTTTTAAGTTCTTCATGCCACCAGTTTGTTAATGCTCTCATCTTTATACACGCTGTTTTGGCATTTAGAGTTTTCCAGGGGTATGGGGTGGAAATTTGCCAACTACTAAAGGTTTGCTAAAATAGTCTGAATAATGTTTTTGTGTAGTAGGAGCAATATTTCAGGTTAATCCCATTAATGTCCCTGACCTAAGAAAATTGTTCTCTCTGGTATTGTCATAGCTTTCATTGGTTATGATATCCTGAAAATCTCCTATGATGAATGAAGTAGCAGATACATAAAAGAAATTTCTTTCAATACAAAGTGCTCAAATTGTGATTTCCAAAGATGATAAAGCACAAGTTGTAGGGTGGCCCAAGGTCAGCAGATTGTGTGCAGTTGCTTTATTGAGGTTTGAGGCTAGAACATGAAAGCCCCGTACTAACCAGAATAAGGCAAATCAAATGGTATGAGAAGCTTTGGAATATATGAGCAGATGAAGAGTCAATAGATATCAACTCTGGGTGGTAAAATCACTGCTTTGGTGTTTTCCTTCTTTTTTCTTTTGTTGTACAAATTAAAATACACAATAAATAAGACAACTGAAGATAAATCAGGGTATTCAGGTTTTGTTTTGAGCTAGTTCTATTACTGAAGTTAGAATTAAATTTTATTATTTCTTAACTCATTCATTTATCCAATAAATACCTCATGAGCTCTAGAGCATTTCTGCCAACATTTATTAACTACTTTAAATGTGCCAGCCCTGGGCTAAGAATTTCAGGTGCATTATCTGATTTAATCCTCACTGCAACCCTGTGAAGTCTTATTGTTATTTCCACTTTAATGATCAGGAAATGGAGTCCCAGGGAGACTGAATAACTTTTCTAGTGTCACAGGATAGTAAGTGGGGGAGTGGGTTTTAAGTTGGGAAGCGGCTCTCAGCCCTGGCTGCACATGAGGTCTACCAAATCCAAACCATGGGGCTAGGCACCTGGCAATTCTCACAGGCGGCACCACCAGTGACAGAAGTGTGATGTGACACACCCAGCCTGTGCTGGGCACTGGCAATACAAAGATGCATGGAGTTCCAAGGACAGTGGCGTGGAGGGGGGGTTGGGTAGAAATGAGGATCAGCCAAGTAAACAGTCACAATACGGTCCTCATCCCTCGTCTCTTCCCATTCCTAACTCCTCACCTTTCAGACCTCAAGTCAAAGGCCAGCTTCTCAGAACTGATCACGTTATTATTTACTGCTATTGAGAATGTTCTTATTGATTTATGTACTTTTTTTATGGCCCACTCCCCCATTAGAGTGACAGCTCCTATTCACTGCTGCATGCCCAGAACCCACATATGCCTGGTTCAGAGCAGGTTCTTAAAAATATTAGTTCAATACACTAATGGCTATAATAGAGGAATGCTAAGGGGGCATGGCATGGGAGCCACTCATTCTTCAGGGGAGGAAGCCCTCATGGAACAGATCAGATGAGACAGGTCTTGAAGAATGAATAAGGATTCTCCAGAAAAACAAGGAGTGAGGTCAAATATGTTGGGCAAAGGGAACAGCATGTGTAAAGGTGGATGAAAAAGCACGGGGGAGATGCAGGTCATTCTGTGTGGCTGAGGTAAAAACAAGTACAAGAAAGTGGCAAGAATCATTCCAGAAATATTGATGCAATGATTAACAGCACCGAAGTAGGCACAAGGGATACAGAGTAGCATAAACAAGCAGAGTTCTTGATGTCATGAAGCTTCTGGTCTAGTAGAAGAGACACATGTAAAACAAACAAACATAAAAGTAAATATAACTCTAAATTATGAGAAATGCTCTGAAGGAAACGGACTGATTACTGCGGCTGAGAATAACATTTAGATGGGGGGCATCAGGGAGGGTCTCTCTGATGAAGTTTCTCTTCATCCCTCAAACAGCCCTCCAGAACAATACCCATTTTAGAGGTAAGAAAACCGAGGTTAAATATCATAGCTCACCAAGGCCCCAACTCTAATAAAGTGGCAGAACCACAGTAATTTACTCTGTTCTTATCAATCTGGTCAACACATTTTGGGAAATATCATCCACCTTTAATGTCACAGAAATCAACTTATGCTATCTTAGAATGAGGAAATAATTAACAAACCATTTCGATTTCTTTTTGATATTTGTGGCATTGTGTCAGGGTTTTCATTCACAAACCAATGCGCCATAAACTTATTCTGGCCGGAGCACTCCAAAGCCGGTGCTCCTTCTGTTAGAGCGGCAGCGCCCAGGGTGGGGTTAATTCTGCACATACCTCTTTACCACTATTCAAGACTTGAACGTTACAGCTTATAGGTAGCTAAGCATTTGCCCTGTGACCGTGACAGGAATGGTCATGGAATCTTTTGGCTCCAAAATATATACCTGTCTCTGAAAATATCATGCCTTTGGAAATTTTTTCATTGTTGTTCACAAGCTAGCTGTGAAAACTGTAGTGTGGTACAGTTCTATGTTCACTTCTAGCCTGACTATAAATACTTAGTAGATATCTGGCCTCAGGAGGACATTTAACTTTTATGAGTCCCAGCTTCCTCACGTGGTCAATGGGGATGTTGACTATATGTCCTGACTTCTTCACAGGATTGGTCTGAAGTTCAAATGAGGTAATAGATGTGAGGGACTTTGTGTTACATAAATGCCATGATTTGGTATTTTCCTAAACCATCCTACAGTGGTGCAGTTGATATAAAATGAAAACACTTAAAAGAGTTTTAAAAAAATAAAAGGTTCTGGGAAAATGAGAACATTATGTAGTACTTAGTCATTATGTCACTGCTAGAGTTCTGGAATGGCCTCCTCTCCATCGGTGATCATGAACTTGTAGTCTGTACCTGGGCCGATAGGGCTGGAAAGGTAAAGTATGATTACTACCTTCATTAGGGGCTGTTGACACATTTCTGTGGTATTTATCGAACCTTGAAAAGGGATAAATTGTGCAAGACTAATTCCTAATTCCAATGTAATTTTAATATACTTTTTATGTGTTAAGTGTAACTAATGAAGAAAAACTTTAAAAAAGTATACAAATTAAAACTGTAGTTCAGTAATTTGTATGCTGATCAAAGATATACATTAACCTATTAATAGTCATTTCCATAGGCATATAGGTGACAGACAGAATGACTGAAAGATATATGCACATATGCACATAATTTTGATGAAGAAATTCCACTTAAAGGAATCTACCCTGAAAATATACTTCTAATGGTACAAAATTGCATATATATAAGTTTATTTATTGGAGCATTCATCGAAATTGCAAAATAATGGAAACAGCCTAAATATCTACATATAGGAGTGTGGTTGAAGAAACTATGCTACACTCACACAATTTAATACTGTACAGCTGTAAAAAATGAATAAGGAAGATTACTAGGAACTAATTTGGAATGATTTCAAAATCATTAAAGTGAAAAAAGCAAAGTGCAAAAGAGTTTATATGGCGTGCTACCATCCTTCATTTAAAACAAAAGGGAATATAATAAAATACATATGAATCTGCTCATTTGTGCAAAAGTAATATGGAAAAGATAAACTCAAACACAAAAGATTGTTTCTACCAAAACTGTTGGTAGAAAAGAAGAGTAAAGAAGGAGGCACAGAAAGTCAGGATGGGGGTGTGAAGAAGGAAATACACTTCTTACAGTATCTC